TGCCATCTGGCCAAGTGGTGGAGCCAGAACCAGAAAGCAACGAATTGGCCAATAGCTGTTGCTACTTCCTCACTACTGATCAGCCAGAACATAGGTGACTTGTCATTTGTGCTTCAGCAGCCAAGAGAAGCTATTACTCCCACCTCTGGCCTTTACTGCTCACCTACTATTGTCCAAGAACTGAGCATGGCAGACCCCTTAGCTTGGATGAGCCTGAGTAAGCTGCACTTACACAGTCTATGACATCTCCCACAACCCAACCCTTCCAGAGGTTAAACAAGGATCCCCCTAGGGTGTGGCCAACTGTTCCAATGACCTACTCTGGAGACTAGATAGCACTAGAAAAGTGGCTTTAGCCATACAGTAGGGTAGATTTACTTGGGACTTGGTATCCAGCTTCTTCCCCCCAACCGACTTTCCCTAATACTAAGGAACACTACTCAAGCTTTTCCTGAAACCTTGGCAAAGAGAACATGGAGGAGTACAAGCAGGAGTTCCTGGCCTTTGTCTTTCAGGCCTTACATGCTCATAGCAGAGGCCTCACTATAGTGAGAAAGAACATACTTCTGGAGGTGTAAGAGTCTGAGCTTCAAAGATCAAGCAGTATATTGGATGTGAGCAGCATCAGGCCAGGAAGCATCACAGGCTGGTTAGGATTAGGATGTAGCGTGCTTAGGGCAGCTGCACACATAACAATTTTAGCTGCTACGCAAGCAAAGCACAAAAGCACTTACATATAGCTTATGACCATCTCCAACATAGGAGCTACCACAAAGATGAGGCTGATTATAAGTTTTGACTGCTGAATTTGGGGGTGACTACAAAAGGCTCCTGCCTTCTCTGCATGTAAAGGTGTCATTCCCAACCACGTGCAGTTAAAGGAGCCCTCCAGCCCAAAGCAATCCTAAAGAGTCCCAGGGTCCTGCCTACTGTAGGCTGACCATGGGAAGACTTCCTGACAAGAAGCCAGGTGGAAACCCAGCTCTGCCCTGGTGACTGGTGAGGTCAAGACAGATGGGCTTTTTTTTTTTCTTTAGTATTGACAGGGCTTCTCTGTATCCCTGGCTATCCTTGAATTTGCTCTGTAAACCAGGATGGCCACAAACTCTGAGATCCACCTGCCCCTGCTTCCCAAGTACTGAGATTAAAGGTGTATGCCACCACTGCCTGGCTGGAAAGATGATCTTTTCTAAAGAGGCCTCATACTAGAAAAGAGAAAGCCATTTTGGCAATCAGAACAATGAAAGAAAACAGGACACCAGGGGAAAGTACAATTATCCATTCAGTATCACTACTGTCCAGACAGACAAGGGCAGCTGGATTCCCAGCCCTCCCCAAAGACACAGGAGCCCCGTGTCTTAAATGTACTCATGACAGATAGCAACTGTTTATTGAAAGAAGCAATAGAAGGCTGAGGATGCTGCCCTCAGGCCTGGATGTGGCTCTTTGCACTGAAGGCTAGGTAGTAGATCACTATGCCGATCACTGCAGCCAGCACTTCCGTGGAGACCCAAGGCCCATTCCAGGTGCCCTATATAAGAAAAAGATCAAAATTACCTCAGGCGAGTGACAGGAGAGTAGACCAGCCACTCTTAGTCACTTGTTCTCAGAACACAGAGAACAGTGATAGCCCAAAACTTGGGCTGCAACAGATGGTAGCTTTCCTTTAAACTCACCCTGCGCCCCCCCCCCCAAATGAATAAATGAAGTGTGCTCTGTGTTCTCTGCTCCCAAGACAAGGCCACTTACCCGATGATCCACACTGACTGTAAACAGGGGTGGGATGATGGAAACATCCTCATTATTTCTCTGAGCCTGTAAGGGAGGTGCTGGGGTCAAAAGGTGCTGGACAGGCTTCCAGTTAAGGGAGAAATGAGCAAAAGACAAATGAAGAAGGAGCAGGAAGAAGGTTCCTGCTCCGTGTAAGCTAGACTGCTGATGGTGCAGAAGGGCAGTACATAGCGATCAGGATGACAGGGCTACAGAAATGGGGCATGCAGTTCCCAGATGACACTTGCCTTCCTTAGGAGGCTGTAGGACTCTTCATCGAAGAATCTGACCTCATAAGTGCCTGCGTGGGCGCTCTTGTGCTCCAGGCTCCATGAAACCTTGTTGGGTGTTTGGCAAAGGGTGGGCATAGCAGACACATGAAGGGCTACTCTGCTAGTGCGGGCACAGCACCATTATGAGCAGGTGCTTGAGTCTTTGATCTCTAACCCTGCTTTGAGCCATTTCCCCAACAACCCTGGATTCAGTAGCCCTTACCTGATATCGGCCCACATCCTGGCCCCGGGTTACAGGAAACTGTTTTCCACTAACGTCAGCATAAAGAGCCATGTTCTGGATTGGGGAAGGAATGAGGACAATAAAGCAAGAGTCACATTTTCCTTCTTTGGGCACACACAGAACCCCCATTATGCTGCTCAAAGCAGTACCATGACTAGGAAGAGTAGTCCAGTTGAAGGCTATATTGGTAGGGGTTGCTATAGAAGACCCAAGGCAAATGCCTTCCACAACCTATAGCCATGCTAGGTCATACCCATGGATACTGTCACCATCTTCCTTCCTGTTTCCCTAGAGGTGAGTAGAGCAAGATCTTCCCTATGACCAGCTTAACCTAACCCACAGCAAGTCTATTAGCTGTATACAGAAGTAGGATGATAAAAATGGCCTTGTTTCATGCCAAACAAGGTATCTAACCATAGAGTATTGACCCTTCCCCCAAAAAAGGTCCAATTTCTTTTAGATTTTTGAAAGAGCAGGTCAGGGGCTCAGGCTGGGGTTTCCAATTTTAAACTTAGAGAATATCCATCCAGACACACACACAGGCAAACTGCAACCAGAAAGAAGATGAAGGGTCATGGGGCCTGACACTAGTTCTTTCTTCCGTTCCAGACATTCATCCAGGAAACAGTGGGGTATCTACCCACATTACTGCATGGAGGCAAAGCATACCAAGCAGGTCAGGAAAATGCTCTTGAAGTACTTGCTAGGATCTGGCCTCGCTGTGCCCTCATCTCTCCTGCACCCTGTGAATTGGAATCCTTATTCTCCCTGTTGATAGGATCCTCGGGTCACTGTCAACTGCCAGTGAAGAGCACTGCCACACTTATCTCTTCCCCTGCACCCTCTCTGCTGAGTCCTAATGTCTCACCTGGACCCTGTTCTTGCAAGTCAGTGAGATCTCCACGATGAATACGGTCTCTGTAGAAATGACGGCATCTGAGGTTGTATAGTAAGAAGGGGTGATCTGGGGCTCCAGGCAGGCTTCTGCTGTGGGGAAGAGGCAAAGCCAATTTGTGTGTTCCAGGCAAAAGGTAAAAGGGTTTACCCTGGCTCTGCCTCTCAGACTTGGTGAAATGAGGACACCCAAGTCCTCTGTTGCTGACAGGGAGGTCTGGGAGGTGGATTCTAGTACTCGGTCTGAAGTATAATGGAAGAGGCCAGTGAGAGATGTTGAGACAGGTCAGGATGGGGTAGGGAAGACTCTGCAGAGGTAAAAACATGGACGCAAAAACATGGAAGGAGCAGGAGTGTATTTGAGGGGTCTGATTTATTGAATTAGTACCTGAGTCCAGGTCAGGGAGGCCACAAAGGAGCTCACCTGGGCCTGAAGCACCCCAGAAGCCCAGTAAACCAAGATAGCCTCATGTACTGAAAGCATTCTGTAGACACTAAGTGAGGTACTGGCAACACACAGGACTTTCAAAGAAGGGTCTCTAGACAATGCCAAGAATGGTCCTAGTGTTTCCAGAGAGACGTAAACTCTGGACCTAAACATCAACCTGTTCCTGTAACTAAACACGTCTAAAGAAATGTGGTCACAGGAAAAAAATAAGGTTGTTATGTCACAGGGTATTAAGTAAACACTAACTGGGAAAGTCCTCATCCAACTGTTCTCTGTGTCTTGGAACCCTTCTGTACCCTGCTAAGCTGGGCCTTTTTCCTGTGGACATTGTGGAGCCCCTAACAGGTTTTACAGCCAGGTTTGTCTCTTTGAGGCGGTCCTCTAACAAGTTCCAAAACATGCGTCTGGACTCCAGGTTGAGCTCAACCCCACCACAGGGAGTTATCAATGGATCTGTGCACTGCTCAATTCTGCTATGAACCTTGGGAAGGATATACCAGGGCCTCATGGAAAGTCGAGGCTCTGGGCACTAAAAGCCCTTGTTCACTTCTTTGGCTCCCTCTCTAACTTGCCTCCAGCACTTACTCTGCTCCTCTGCCTGGAGTGTCCTTGCTTCCTCTTAGCCTGGCCTACACGGTACTGGTTCCTCTCTGCCAGCACTACTTCTCACACAGGTTATTGCCAGGTGCTGATAAGCACTGCTCTTGTGCAACTACCTTCTGAAACAGGAATCAAGGACATATAACCTTCCCGGCTGGAACTGATGGCCGGAGGAGCATGGTGCGCCTTTGGGGTACTCCCAAAAGCAGACATGGAAGGATTTGCTCTTCCAGCCGCCTGGCTGGCAGGTAAACGTGTATGTGGTGCTTCGCTCGCCACGACACGACCAGCGGGGTTAGATCCCAGCAGCGAAGAGCCCCAGGAAGGGCCAGACCCCAGCCTCGCGCGCACCCTTCCTCCCCCAACACCACCTGCTATGGGACAGACGTTCGCCCAAAATAAGGTCCGGTCAGGCCGCTACCTGAGCAGCAAGATAAGCTGGACAGCAGGAGTAGCGCCAGGGCGCCGAAAGATGCCATCGCCGCCATCGCCTCTTCTCTGCCGAAGGGAAAAGAGAGCAAGCCGCCCTGAACATGCGGAGCAGACGAGGAAGCGCGACGCGTAAGCGATCTCAACACCCAATCGTGCACAGTCGGGCTGGGCCGGGCCTGGTGACGTTGCTGGCGGCACTGACGTGTCCGCTTCCCGGGCCAGAGTCCCAACCGGTGGCACTTCCCTCCTTCCCCCCCCCCCAAGATGGCGGCAACAGTGCTCCAGGCACCGGAAGGGGGCGTAGGAACCCATGAAACCGTGCGCGTGCGTAGTGGTAGCTTTTCTTATCCTGCACCCCGGACCGCTCACTGGCTGAATTCTCGCGAGAACGGTATCTTAACGTTTTGACCTGTAGAGGTCCTCACTTTTCGTCATGGCGCTGAAGGTGGCGATAGCTGCTGGCGGTGCTGTAAAGGCAGTGTTCAGGCCAGCTCTCCTCTGCCGTCCTTGGGAGGTGAGTAGTGAATGGGTGGTGGGACAGTTGCAGCGCTCACTGGGGGACTTCACACCCCATTGAGACCAGGAGTGGGGTAGCGGCTCTTTGAGTGACCTGGAGTGCAATTGGCTGTGCGGGCCTTAGGAGGGGCGGGGAGAGGGCTGCACGCTGGGGTTCATTGGTCACATCTGCTGTCAGTGAGGAGGATGGCCGAAGTTGTCTCTGGTCTGGCTCCTCTAGGGAGGGGGTGGTCTGTGGCTGGTGACAGGGGCTCCGGAAGAGCTGGAAAGGTGGAGCGCTGTGGCTGAGTGTCTCCTCCCTGGTGTCCTTGTAGAAGACCTTTTGAAGAGGTCACGTGTTCTCGCCCGCCTCGCCCTTTCCACTTGCGTTGGTGTCTGGTTCCCAGAGTCAATTCCTCCCTGGGTTTCCCTCTCTTAGACTGCTTTGTCACCTGTCCTACTGGAGGTGGAGACTCAGCCTTTACGAATGACTCTTGATCCTTTTTACAGCTCCAGACCCCCTGCCTCTCAAGCGGTTTGACACTTGATTCTAGCCAAAAGGCCAACAAGCAAACCCAAGCCCCTGTAATGAGACTGAACCAGGGTTCTGAGACTGGAAGCCGCTGGGGCTTTGCTTCCTCAACTTTCTCTTTGGGAGTCTTGGTTAGCCCGTTTAGCTTTTGGTTAGCACGGTTTAGCACCAGCCAACCAACAACTAGCTCTGGGGAATAAGAGCTCTGACCTCCAGACCATGTTCCCCCACTGACCCAGAGCATGGCCTTAAGCCAATTCTCTTCTCTCTCTGAGCTCCAGTTTCCTTTCTGTCCAGTGAGGAAAGAGGACTTCACATTCTCAAAGCATTTGACAACTCTTAACTTCCAGAACTCAATGTTGCCTGCAGCCTCTTTTACTTACTATGTTTCTCCCATCTGTTCTCTGGGGGAGGGAGTTGTATATGCTTTATGAAATTCTATTTAAAATGTGGACTTCAACTCCTCAACCTGCCTCATATTGGGCTACTTTGATTGGACAATCTGGGTTTATGAGGGAGAGCTTTGTAATCCCCTAAAAGAAACTACTCACATCTGTATAGAGCAAGATCAAGGATTTGTGTTTGGGGACTTTTCTGGGACTGGGACAAAGGCCATTGTCACATCTGGCACAGGCAGCAACTGTGGGACAGGTTCAGCACTAACAGTGCTGTTGCCTTCTGTGAACAGGGCTGCTGAGACTGTGAGCCACACCTGGTGCAGGCCCTTAGCAGGCTGGCTCATTGTCACAGCTGAAGCCCAGGAGGAATTCACTGCTGAGAGTTACTGTGGTCAGCCTTGCAGCTCCCAGGGACACTAACTTTGAACTAACTCTCTGACTGAGAAGCTAGTAGAGTGAGGGTCGGTGTACTTTAGCACAGCTCCATCCTGCTGGAGCTTGTGAACAGCTTGTATACCTCCTCTTGATTAGACTTTCCAGCAGTTAAATGAAATTGGTGCCTCCATTCCATGGGTTGTCCAATTGCCCCTCTTTTTGTTTTTTTGAAGCAGAGTTCATGTAACCCAGACTAGCCTTGAAATTGTTATGTATATGAGAATGATCTTGAATTTTTCCGGTCCTCCTGCCTCACCTCCTAGGTGCTAGGACTACAGGTGTGTGCTGCCATGCCTGACTGCTATTCCATGGGTTTTGATAAAGACACACAGCCATTTCACGAGTAGCAGATGGCAGATTTACTAGATATCCTTGGTCTCCATCTGTTTCTTCATTTTCTGACGTTCTTATTCACTTAGGAAATGGTGCTTGTCATCCAAGCACTGGGCCAGGCACTGTGCATGGTCTTGGAATGACAGGAGGGGAGGGTCAGACAAACATGTGCTCTGTTCTCAGAGGTTAGAAAGAGAGCAGGGAGGTGATAATCAGGTAGAGTTATGTTTCTTAGATGGGTAGGGGTAAGGTATAAGTAGAACTTAATAGCCCAGGGAAGGCTCCCAGGAGAAAGGGCTATCTATACTACCTTCTGATAGAAGGCATGGAGACCCTGCAGGCAAGATGAATCTGATGTTGACAAGTACTAGAAAGAAAACAAAGAAGTTCCAAGTATGCCTTTGGCTGCATATGTAGTGAGGGACCTTTGGGACTCTGGCCTAGCAGTCAACCTTCCTAGTTCTTGGCTTGGGCCATTGAGTGGCATTCCTGCTTTGCTAGTGCCATGGTTCCTGGGCCTCTTGTAACTGTGGGCTAGGAGAACCCAGAGAGGGAGGGTCAGAGTCTACCTGAGCCTTCTGTTCTTCTGGAAAGAAGGCAATGCTCTTTAGAAAATGGCTATGTCTCTGCTATTGGTTAGACCGTTCTGCTACTGTCTGGTGGGTAAGTGGCAGAAAATCATCAGTTTACAGGGAAGAATTTAGCTGTGCCAGTGCCTCCTTGAGTATTTCTAAGTGAGTGAGGCACAGCAAGAAGGGGAGCTAAGCTTTTCTGTGGAGCTGAGGATGCAGCCTCTCCCTCCAGGACAGTGGGTTACTTCTTAGCACTTAGCCCATTTGGCCCAAATGGCTTTTTTTTCCCTGAAGCTATCAGAGTGTCACCAGCATGGCCAAACATAGCTGCTTCCCAGTCATGAGATTGGGGACATTCATAATCCATCCAGGATGCACCATAAAGCTGCTTGCAGTTCCTTGTGATAGCCATACTAGAAATTGGTATCTGTTATCAGTCTTTCCAGAAATGGCTGTGGTTTTCTAAGTATTTTTTTATGTCTATTCTGAAGGACCATTCCCTACAGGTGACAGTGCTTATCCCAGGGCAGTGGTGTGCTATATCTTCCTTACTTCTTTACCCATTTGCATTTATTATAGTGGCTGTGTACTGGCTTTGTAATAAGGAAAAATGAGGAAAGACCTAATGAAATTATTGCTCAGAGTTGCTGACTTGTTGAGAGTATTCTTTTGCAACATTTCAAGTTTATCAGTTTTTCCGTGCACATGTAGCAGTAATTGACCAAAAGAGAATCCAAAGCCAATACACAAGTGGGATGGGGACATACAGTTCTGTTTTTATTGTGCTTTAGAGACAAGACCTCACTCTGTCACCCTTGCTGGCCTGAAACTCACTATGTAGACCAAGCTGGCCTTGAACTCACAAAGATCTGCTGGCCCCTGCCTTCTGGGGGCTAGGATTAAAGCTACAATGCCAGGCTGGGCATACAGTTTTTATTATGCTGATTCACAAGGGGAATGAAATATTGGGCCCACTTTGTCTGATGCTCCTGTGGAACAGTTGCTGGGAATGGAGGCTTTGGAATGTCCTAGGCACATGATAAACTGTTGTTTACTGGTTATCAGTTTCTCTCTGCCAAGAGCTAGGCTAGCTCTTTCGAACTTAACATTGGCATCTGGGTTCTCTTTGATAGGTTCTAGGTGCCAATGAGGCCCCCCGGAGGAGCATTTCCTCAGTAAGTACCTCCCTTGGATGTGTATATGTACACATGCGCATATACATGAGAGGGGGAGAGCTGTGCTCATGTGTTTCCATGTGCATCCACGTGCGCATGTATGTGGCGTGCATGTGTGCGTGCACATGCACACATAATGTGCATGAGACTGTGTGCACTATGTGTATACATGACTGTGTTGCTCCCTGGCCCTCCTGTCCTTCCCTCTGAGGCACAGTCTCCAGAAGTCACTCATACCTTGCCTCTGATTTGTGATAGATATAGTCCCCAGGGGAATGAACCCAATTCCTTGGTCACAGCCTTGTTCCTCTAACCTTGGCTGATCCATGTCTTCTTTCTGTCTTCCCTCTAGCAACAAACAATTGTGAGTATTCTCTGAATTAGATTTGAGGGGCTCTTAGTTCCTTTGGGGTTAACCCAAGTCCAGGGGTCTTGGGGTGGTGGTGGCTGCGGATCAGGAGCCTCAGAATAGCAATCTTGCCTTGGCTGACCTGTGGGATTGGTACTGGTGGGAAGAAGGAAACTGGCTCAAGTCAGGGTGCACATTGGTGTACCAAAGGGCTCACTTTCACCCTCTCCCTTCTAGCCTCCATCTGCTAAGTATGGTGGGCGGCATACAGTCACCATGATCCCAGGGGATGGCATCGGCCCGGAGCTCATGTTACATGTTAAATCCGTATTCAGGTATGGAGGGCCTGGACTTTCTTCCCTTCCCTTCTCTCCCAGAGAGTGTTGTACCACACACCAATCTGGAAGCACCCAAGAACTTTGTGTCAAGAAGCACAGGGAATCCAGAACCCCACCGTCTGGTACTTTTGCCCAAGTACCCAGTGGGGTGGAAAGCCTGCTTGTAAAGCCAGGTCTTGCATCCCAATGTTTCTCATCCTGCTAGACTGACCTGGGTACAAGGAAAGTAGCACCAGTCCTGTGGGGGTCAAGTGTGACCCTTATGTTTGGCATGGATGGGTCCAGTTTCCTCTTAGCTGGAGCCAGGTCAAGGTGGAAAACAGCAGGGAAGAGACTGATAAAGGCTTCAGGAGAGGGTGTGGAAGGCCCTAGGCAAGCCTTTTTAGCCTAACTTTACTGCAGACATGCGTGTGTGCCAGTGGACTTTGAAGAGGTGCATGTGAGCTCTAACGCTGATGAGGAGGATATCCGAAATGCCATCATGGCCATTCGCCGGAACCGTGTGGCCCTGAAGGGTGAGCCCAGGGACCAGGTTGGGGTGCTATGTGTGATTCCTTTTGCCTGTATACTGACTTTTGTGGATCCCCATGGTTCCAATTTCAGGGATTTTTCTGGTTATTGATGACTCTTGTTCTTAGCATCTGGGTAGAAGCTTCTGTGGGCTGTTGACAGTATGGTTCTATTATTTCAATAGCCTGTGTGAGCTTGCTCAGTAGCTTCCTCCCACCTCTTTCTTCACTGAGGCATGCCTCTGCTGGAATCTGCTTTGATCCACAGATTTTTTTTTTCAAAAGCGAAAGATCAGAGATGTAGTTTACCCCTGTGCCTGCTGCCTTGACTCCAAGTGGCATAATCATGGACATAAGCATTCTAATAATCCTTCCTGAGGTTTGCCTTGATTGGGTGGCACTACCTTAAACTAATAATCATTTTATGAAGTTTAACCCATTCACTGCTCTGTGTGAAGAATATGTTGGCGGCTGGGCGATGGTGGCACACACCTTTAATCCCAGCACTCGGGAGGCAGAGGCAGGCGGATCTCTGTGAGTTCTAGGCCAGCCTGGTCTACAAGAGCTAGTTCCAGGATAGGCTCCAAAGCTACAGAGAAACCCTGCCTCGAAAACACCAAAAAAAAAAAAAAAAAAAAAGAATATGTTGGCATTGAATGGGCCTTAAAACGAGCCACAGGGTGCCATAAGCACTGGTCTAGGAACACCTTGGAGGCAGGGACAGGTGGTCCTGCTGGACTACCAAAAAAGACATTTCTGCTTGTCATGGTCTAATCACCTTCTAGCAGATACTACCTCACTGATCTCACTGGGCCTCTGTTTTCCTTCTCTAGATATCTGGGGCACTCTGGCCCAGACATTCTGTGGCCTAGTTGGGGCCTTTTTCAGGCAGCCCCCAGCTGCCCCTGAGCTGGGCATGAAGGCCTGGCAGTAACCCTGACCAAGGTCACCTTGTTGGCCCCAGCATGGACAGCCAATTTAGTCATATACAGGAATGGTCACTCTGGAGCTAGCCTAGGTAGTAAATGGCACGGTGTCCTGGCTAGCTGTCAAGCATATTTATTTATTAATTTATTTAGTAAATATTTACTGAGTACCTACTATGTGCCAGGTGCTTGTCAAAGTTCTTGAAACTCATCATGTGTCTCTCTCTGTCTCTCTGTCTCTCTGTCTCTGTCTCTCTCTCTCTCTCTCTCTCTCTCTCTCTGTCTCTCTGTCTCTCTCTCACACACACACACACAGATACATACATACACACACATGCATACGTACACATCCCTTTGAACCTCATGGAGCTCACAATGGCAGTTACATTATAGAGTTCAAGGAAATATTTTGCTCCTGAAAATGGTCTTCTCCAGTTCTCCAGCTGGATCAACCTTTGGTGAACATTCTCTGGGCCAGATAGGGGAATATGGCAATGCAGCTGAACCCAGAAGATCCCTTTCTAGCTTGCCTATCTTGTTTGTTTTTGTTCTGTAGGCAACATCGAAACAAATCATAACCTGCCACCATCTCACAAATCCCGAAACAACATCCTTCGGTGAGAGTCATGTACACAGCATCGTGGCTCTTTGAAGACCGGGGTGGGCTATGCTGGCATTCATGACCCTGTTACTAATTGGGCCTGGTTTGACTTTCTCCCTGTCACCCTCCCAGCACCAGCCTAGATCTCTATGCCAATGTCATCCACTGTAAGAGCCTGCCAGGAGTGGTGACCCGGCACAAAGACATAGACATCCTCATTGTGCGGGAAAACACAGAGGGAGAGTACAGCAGCCTGGAGCATGAGGTAGGCAAAGCTATTTGATCCTCTTGGGTGGACGGTGATGATCATGGCCAGAGTCATAGTTGAGAGAGCTTCAGAAACAAGGAAAAGGTGCCCCTACTCAAGGAATTGGAAAAGCCAAATATACTTAGTGATAAGGCTGCATCCTGTGGTACTCCCATTAAGCCCTTTGTTGTCCCCTGACCTCTTCTCAGAGTGTAGCAGGAGTGGTGGAGAGCCTGAAGATTATCACCAAGGCCAAGTCCCTGCGCATTGCTGAATACGCTTTCAAGCTGGCCCAGGAGAGTGGGCGTAAGAAAGTAACGGCTGTGCACAAGGCCAACATCATGTATGTATACTCCATACATTTCTGCCTACTTTGAACAGGTGCAAGGGCCTACTCAGGTCCACCTGCGGGGTCTAGGGTAACAGTGACCACACTCAGGACTGTATCCTGTTGTCCCTGAGGCTCTGTGTCCTCACTATAGTGCATCCCTAGAAGAGGCAAGATAGATGGGGTTATGCTTGTTTTTCCATATGGAGAGCAGGTTATAAATTAGTCCTCAGGGTTCCATGGTTCTCTGGACACCCTATTTCTCCTCTCCAACTGACTGTAGTGAGAGGCCAAGCTGGTGTCTTGTATCCCCTGTCATCTAGGAAACTGGGTGATGGACTCTTCCTCCAGTGCTGCAGGGAGGTGGCAGCCCGCTACCCACAGATCACCTTTGACAGCATGATTGTGGACAACACAACAATGCAGGTAGGTAATCAGCCCAGCTGGCCCCATAGCCTTCTGCCCACCCTTGGTTCTCAGGGCTTATACAACTCGGCTCGCTTCTTTTCCCACAGCTAGTATCCAGGCCTCAGCAGTTTGATGTCATGGTGATGCCTAATCTCTATGGAAACATCGTCAACAATGTATGTGCAGGGCTAGTTGGAGGCCCGGGCCTTGTGGCTGGAGCCAATTATGGCCATGTGTATGCAGTATTTGAGACAGTGAGTAGCCAGGCACAACTCTGCCATCTTTCTCTTATGTTATAGTTGGTATCCCACAGTGGTGTTCAGCCATTGGTACTGCTTAAGACTTAAGGTTTCTAAAGAAAACACAGACCCATGAGCATCCATCCCTATTCCCTCTCCCAAGCCCTGATATGCCTTCTTTTGCTGTGTCTGGGATGTGCCTTGACTGTGTATGGCCCACAAGAAGAATCATCTGCTATCTAGTCTAACATTTTCCCACCTACCCCCTTCTTCCCTTCTCCAGGCTACAAGGAACACAGGCAAAAGTATTGCCAATAAGAACATTGCTAACCCCACTGCCACACTGCTAGCAAGTTGCATGATGCTAGACCACCTCAAGTAAGTGGCTTCTTAATGCCCGATCATGAGTCCTCTGGCCAGCCTCTAGGCCCTGAGAACCAAAAGCTTGTTCTCTTCATCCTCTAGGCTCCACTCATATGCCACCTCCATCCGCAAAGCTGTCTTAGCATCCATGGACAATGAAAATGTAAGGTTCCTCTTGTCCCACTTCCGGTTTCCTTTCCTCTAGCCCATGTTATACTAGTCTGACGAGTCCTATATGCTTCAGGCAGTGACCAGCACTGACTGTGGCCTGTAAGGGAATGGTAGTATTGGCCTCCTCGTGCCAGTTCCTTGCCCTTCTAACTATAGTGGGTAGCCCTGGGCCACCATAGGGTTGTGGCAGACTTTGGCCTGATATGTTCAAGCTTTCTGTTTTCCTCCAGATGCACACTCCAGACATTGGAGGCCAAGGTACCACATCTCAAGCCATCCAGGACATTATTCGTCACATCCGCATCATTAACGGCCGGGCTGTGGAAGCTTAACTATCCTTACATTTATTTCAGCCTGTCCATAGGACCCCCTTCTCACTCTAGCACTCCTCCTAGCTTGGTGGGTGGGCTCCAGAATAAAGCCACTTCTGCCCTAGAACTTGGCCACGTGCTTACCTCATGCCAAGATGCCAGTGTTTTGGTTCCCACTTTATTAAGAAAGAAATAGGTACTCTTTCCACTCAGGACCCTCTAGGAGGATCACAAGTAGACAGGTTGAGATGCGAGCCTTGCCCCAGAATTTCTGTCCTGCCATGGGGGCTGGGGAGTGAGCATAACAGCACCCAGCAAGGTAGGAGAGCAACTCCCACAGGGTGATAGAAGTTGCCTGCTTTCCCTCAAGGCACTGAGAGCTAGGGCAAAACCAGCACAGTCCCTGCTGTCGATAGCTCCAGTAAGATCTAGGGATTAAGCCAGGGGTGCTGGAGGCAGTCGGCAGCACTGGCCCGTTTCTCAGGGATGTACTCCATCATGGGCAACAGGAAGGCACTGAACTGTGTAGCTTGCTCCAGGGGCCACTCATATTTCTCCATGAGCACTTCGTATAGGCCCCAATGTTTGAGGTTGTGGATATGCCGCAGCTGTCCTGGGGGAGGGGGGACACACAACATTAGACTGTGTCGCCAGGTAGGCTTGTTGTACCCAGTGTTCTCTCTGGCAAATCAAGGTCCCTGACCTCCCCTCTGCTCTCCTAGCCCTTGTGGCCTAAGTCTACTTGGTCCCTACCCCTGCGGTTGAAGAACTCCCGTGAATAGCGGCCTGAGAGGGCAAAAGCTGGGGGGATGTCTCCCAGAAGCTCCACGATATGAGCAATGTGGTCTGTGGACAGAGAGAATATTGGGTGTCAGGGTGGGGCAGCTGGAGATCCTAAAACCAAGGCCAGGGTTTGCCTCCCTTACCCTCATCACGACTGTAGTCTTCTCCAGAGTGAGGCTCAAATAGATAGTCGCCAGTGGCCAGCTCGAAGGCCTGGAAGGGAAGAGAAGTGAGGCTGTAGCAGGTGGCTGACCCTAGGCATGGAGGACGGTGGCTGGCCCTAGACCTGGAGGTAACTGAACTAGCATACCATGCATGCTGTGCTCCAGATGTCAGCAGGGGGGCCATACTCAGCACCAATCAGCACCTCCACGGCCCTGTACTGCCGAGTCTGAATGTCCTCGGTGAAGTGTTTGTGCTGGAGGAAAAGGGAACCCTGGGAGCAGGAGCCTTGGTGCAGGCTAGCCTGCCCCACAACCCACATCTGCTTCTGGTCCATGCACCTGAGCTTCATGGAGCTCACTCTATTCTTAAGAGTTCCCCAGATGTTACAAGAGGAACTGTTTAGGTGACCTGAGGGTAGCCTCTTCCTAGTAGCTCCTGTCACTTGCCATGGGCATCGTTCTGGCCTGGCATGATTCTTCTACTTCTGCTTGAGCAGCAAAAAGTAGCTCTCAACTATACTCAAGGAGACTGCTGCCTATTTGAATTGTAGGCCGTGCCAGAGGCCTAGGGTAGGGCTCCCCAAGACCAAGCACCCTGTCATCCCAAAATGCTCAACATACCACCCAGCAGGCGTTGCCCAGGTCTGCAATCTTGATCTTGATCTTGTCTGCATTTTGGGGCTCCAGGGGGTTCACCAGGAGGTTGGAAGCACCAAATGGTGCTAGGGAAGGAAGAGAAGGAAGAGACTGAACTTAGCCCTACTCTTCCCGGTCCTGCCTATCTACTACCCACTGTTCCCACACTTACTGCTAGGAGACAGGAGACCCCCAGTCTCACGCTGGTTAGATGAGCCTGAGAGGATGGAGCAGGAAGCCGTGGAGAACAGAGACCCTGAGAAACCTGAGGTCTGTGAGCTGGGACTAAGGCTGCGGTCACCCCCAGGCGCAGGGGATGAAGAGGCTGGAGAGGGGCCAGCCCTGGTGCCCTCCGGGTGGCAGCCTGAAGAAGAGGTGGAGCCGCTGCCCCGCTCTAATCTTGAACTGGAGTCTGGGAAGAAGGGGCAGAAGGCCATATGAGCAGAGGCCTGCATTCCACATGCATGTTTAGTGGCCCAGTGCCCTTTTTAACCCCTCACCCTCAGCCTGTACTGCGACCTCCATGGCTTCCAGCCTCTGCAAGTCCCGCAGCCGCTCCTCCAGCAGCCGCTTCTGTTGCTTCCTTTTGCGCCTCATCTTCTTCCTCTTGTTTTTGGACAGCTTACCAGTCTGCCACCAGAGTCAGGGTCACCTGCCTGGCTTCCCTGCCCAGCCCTGGACCCCAGAACTAACTCCTATGGGCATCAGGAAAATGGTGCTACTACCTTTTGTCTCACACTTAGTCCCAGCCTCTTATCCATTTCTCTGCCTACCCTCCTGCCCCCTACTCCATACAACTTTGTGAGTATGGGGAGAACCTAGTGGGCCCGTCCTAAATTGTTCCTTGTCCACTCCTAGCTTAGATGAAGTGGTCTGAAGCAGTCATTTGGGAAAGGTACAGTATCCTTCCATTGAGGTGGGCATGGGCCCAGTAGTCACCAGAGGCAGCTTGGAGCACATGACCTACTCTGTGTAACCACTCTTTTCTCAGGTACCCAGCTTTTTAGAGGGGCCGCTGCATAAGTTCAAACGGTGTAACCGGTGTGGCTGAGGAGCCGAGCTCTGAGGACGTGTCCTTGTCTGACTTGGATGGGAAAAGGGGACAGGAAGAGTGGGGGTGCCACAACTTACCAAGACCTCCTGGGGGGCGGTACTGACTGGGGATAGGGATCGAGGAGAGAAAAAAGAATAGTAATTTCAGGGATTGAGGCCCAGAGTTCTGGTGCCAGTCCCCACACATGCTCTTGATACCTGTGGAACGGGATGGGGGCTGAGCCCCTGACTGCTGCCACTCGGTGGCTTCAGCAGCCAGGCGCCTGATGTAGGCATCTCCGACACACAGTAGGATGTTCTCAGGCTTGATGTCCGTGTGAATGATCTTGCACTTAGTATGGAGGTAATCCAGACCATGTAGCACCTGGAGAAAGCTACAGCTGAACCACAGCAGCCACATCCAGCCAAACTGGGCAGCCTGGGACAGCACCTACCTGCCTAACAATGCTTTTAACACAGGGCACAGGCAGACCCTGGTAATTGGACTTGATGATCCACTTGAGGAGCTGGTGACCCAGAACCTCTAGCACCATGCACACATCTGGACTTGGAGTGAAGGGCAGCCAGCGACACTACTAAGGCACAGGTTTACCTACCCTCCACCATGTAAGCACCTAGGCTTCAGCGGTGCAAAGGTCAGGGAAGCAGGACTTTCCCTGGACCATCTTGGTGACTACTACAGTCTCAGTTTATTATTTATAGTGTTTCTGTCACCAGCAAAGATGTGCCAGTTGGGATGGTACCTTCTGCCATCCTAGAGATGCCTCTTAGACCAGCCTTAACTGTTCTGCCCAATTGTTTCAAAAGCAGCCTTTTATATTTAGGTCACTCAGCAGCATCCACAGATAATCATCGTCCACCTAACTACCCGTGTTCCCCTGCTCAGAAACACAAATGCTCAAAGGGCATTGTTGGGTTGCTTCATGGGCTATCCCTGCAAAGGCTGAGTCCCATGGTGCAGACTGGAAGTCTGAATTCCTTCGACTGCCCTATTTCTCATCCTTTGAAGGATACGAACTCCATTAACTCCTGAGATCCTGAAGTCATCAATGAGCTGAACAATGGTCTCTCTTTTGGGGTCGCTAGGGTCACTGTCCCGGACCTGGAACAAAAAGGCAAGGAGCCACAGATGGCTCCAACCTGTTCCTCACAGCTGCTCAGCTCCCCTAAAGTACTTCGGGCCCCCTTTCCCAGTCCAGCTGGGGCCCACTTAAAGAGAGGCAGCTGCCTCTTTCAGATCTTTGCCCTCTAGGTTCTCTTACTTGGCAGAGCCAGCTGGAGCCTGCCCCCTCTGGGAGCCCCGCCCCACTGCAGGGCCCCACATTGCCAGGCCCAAGGCAGTTCAAGAAGCCGGGAACAGTAGGGGAGGCGCCTCACACATTTCAGGAGCTTGATCTCATCCACAGCTGTCTCTGTGTAATGTCCTGCACTCTTCACTACTTTCAGAGCCACGAAGCGCTTGCGCCTGTAATACAGAGACCCTCATAGGCTGCCAGCCTTTGCCAGACTCACGTGGTCATGGTGGTGGCCTCAACCAAACCCACAGACAGATACCAGCCACTCACTGAATATCCCAGCAGAGCCAGACGGTAGAGAAGTGGCCCCAGCCTAGCTTGCGCACCACGTGGTACCGCCCATTGAACAAATCACCTATCTTCACTGGGTAGTAGCCACCTGCAGAAGGGAGCCAATAGATCAGAGCAGGACATCTCTCTCTCCTATCCCTCAAGATAGCCCAGTCCTGCTGACCATCTGTCCCATGAAGGGCTTAGTCTCTGGGCACCTTCTTCCTCCCAGGCTATACCAAGCCCCTACAGAGGTAATCTGACTGACCATGTGCAGCCAAGGTCAGGCCTTACCCTTGCAATAGTCCTTGGGGTCTTCCTGCTCCTCATCATCAGAGCCCAGGAGCCCCTGCAGCAACCGAGGTGCTGGTGTGGCTGGAGCTAATTCAGAGCCTGAAGACTCAGGCCCACAGGAGGTCTGAGAGCTGTGGTGAAGAGGGAGAACATAGTGAGCTCACAAGGTGCAAGGGACTTCAGTCTCCCCAGCTTGATCATACCTGCTACTGCTGCCACCACAATCCACAGCACCACTACCACCAGCACTGGCACTCATCCTGATGTCACAGCCCAAAGCTCTCTGATGCACTGGCCCACTGTTTCTGTGGGACCCAGCCGTGGCAAGTGCATTTATAGCCTCTGCTGCTGATCTCACCCGCCTTTATAAATAGCCTCCCAGCTGCTCAGCTGTGGGCAAGGTATGCAGCGGAGGGAGGGGCAGTGCACTGATGGCTGCCTTGGAGAGCCCAGCCCCTAGGCTGAACCCCTCTGTTTCACCCACACTCTAGAGACAGAGGGGACCACCAAGCTGGGATTATGGCAGTGACTCAGTCCCTAGACGGATTCCCCACAATCCAGGACCAGCCAAGGAAGACACCTACATGGAGATGGAGCAGTCTGGAGCTCCTGCACCCTAGGACTGTGGTGAAAGGTTCCTATGAAAGAATGTAGTTGACATGGTGACCAGATACTTAGGCTGAGCTCTCTCTAAACGTGGCATGTCACTTGATGCTTTCTTGAACTTCCCACTTAACCCATGTGAGTACCTTTCTGGAGGTGACCCCTGGCAGTCCCATATGAACCCCACTCTTTGTTCATTCTCAGCCCTGATTCCAGCTTTTTTGTAATTCACAGATCCTCTCAATACAGGTGGGAGCCCAGATCTCCCTTAAATGTTGCTGAGCAAGGGTCAAAGGCGAGAGCTAAAAACAACTCATTACTCCCATCAGAGGCAACCAGCCCATCAGATCACTATTGGCTTGTATAGCCTCCTACCCTTAGCTCCAGAGCTGGCCACCTCTACCTTAATGACTTGATGTCGGAAGGTCATCTGTCTATCTGTTGCTTTCATTGGTTAATTAATAAAGAAACTGCTTGGCCTGATAGGTCAGAACATAGATGGGTGGAGTAGACAGAACAGAATGCTGGGAAGAAGGGAAGTGAGGGCAAATGCAATGGAGCCAGCCGCCAGGTCAGACATGCTGAATCTTTCCCAGTAAGCCACCAGCTCGTGGTCCTACACAGATTATTAGAAATGGGTTAATCAAGATGTGAGAATTAGCTGATAAGAGGCTAGAACTAGCCGGGCGGTGGTGGTGCACGCCTTTAATCCCAGCACTCGGGAGGCAGAGGCAGGCGGATCTCTGTGAATTTGAGCTAGCTCCAGGACAAGCTCCAAAACCACAGAGAAACCCTGTCTCAAAAAAAAAAAAAAAAAAAAAAAGAGGCTAGAACTAATGGGCCAGGCAGTGTTTAAAAGAATACAGTTTCTGTGTTATTATTTCCAGGGCTAAGCTAGCTGTGCAGGAGCCGGGCGGGACAAAAAGCAGGCCTGTTTGCCTCTCTACTACAATGACTTTCTCCACCAAATTTGCAGGTACCTACCATGGGCCAGCCAGCTTTGCCACATCCACCAGGAGAACAAAAACCCTGCAGTTGTTGACCATAAGCTGCCTGGTAACCGGGAGATCCTGTGTCTCCTGAAGGACCAGAAAGCATTAAGTCCCCAGAAACATACAGGACACATGGGAGAGCGCTATATGCTGGCATGCTACAAAATGCTAGTACCTGGAGAAACAAGTGAGATCCTTATTTAGAGTCTATAGTTGTTGCTGGGGGAGTTCCAGCAGTGGGCAAGTAGTTTTGTGCTTTAGAAACCCCATTCTGGGACTTGGGAGAGTCTATTCAGTTGATAGAGTGATCCCCAGTTTGTATGAAGCCCTGGGATTGATCCCCAGCCCTTCATAAACCAGTTGTGAAATGTGCCTGTAATCTCAGTACTCAGGAGGATCAGAAAATCAGGGTCATCCCCAGATACATAGCAAATTCAAGCCCAGCCTGAGATATGTGAGACCTTATCTTTAAAAACAAAAATGGGTTGGAGAGATGGCTTAGTGGTTAAGAATACTGTCTACTGTTGTCCAGGTTCAATTCCCAGAAGTCACATGATAGCTCACATGTCTGTAATTTCAGCTCCCAGAGGATCTGACACCCTCTTCTGGCCTTCCTGGATACCAGACATACAAAAGATGTATAGACATACATACAAGCAAAACATCCACATACATAACATTTAAAAAAAAAACAGTTTGTGAGGCAGAGAGTCCACTCTAATTGCTTCTAGATGAGAATAAAGCGCAAAAGTGGAGCTAGGAGGGCTACCAGAAACTTCTGAAGAAAGTGGAGGGGGCTTGGCAGTGTCAATGCTTATCCCAAGTTAGACACGTTGTCCAGTGTCCTATAAAAAGAAAGAACTGACCAGGTGGTGGTGGCGCACGCCTTTAATCCCAGCACACGAGAGGTAGAGGCAGGTGGATCTCTGTGAGTTGGAGGCCAGCCTGGTCTACAGAGTGAGTTTCAGGACTGGTTCCATAGCTACTGAGAAACCCTGTTTCGAAAAACCAAAAGAGAAAGAAAAGAAAAGAAAAGAAAAGAAAAGAAAAGAAAAGAAGAGAGAGAGAGAGAGAGAGAACTGGTATGGATGGGGCTGGCATAGATGAAGAGGACAGCCTTTCTGCAGGGCCTGAGAGGTCAGGAAAGGAGAGACAGAGCAAAGTATGGAAGGCTTAATTACTTCTTTCCCCAAGAATGGCAGATTACAGCCATCGCACCAAGGGCAAAAGTGAATAGAAGAAAGGCTTGTAGAGAAGCCCTTGCAGAGCCTGGGTGTGTCTGGGGAGTAAACCCTGGTATAGGGAGAAGTAGCATCCTAGATCTAGAAAGTGAGGATATGGTGGTTCTCCCACAACCCTCGCTCATCCCTCTCACCTCAGCCCAGGGGGTACTGAGAGTTCACACTTGGCAGGAAAAGGCAGGGGTGGCAGATTGGAACTGTTTTTTTTTTCTTTTAAAGATGTGTTTCTATTTTATTTCCAGATGTGATTTTCCAGCAAGCAATTAAATACAGAGGGAAAGAGAGCAGAGATAATTATAAATTAGAAAGAAGCCAGGTGCGCGGCAGTAGGCACTTCATATAGTCTTGCTGACCCCTCCTCAGTCACTGCTTGGTCAGGGTCATACAGCACTTTGTTGGTGGATCCTGCTCACTGTTCTATAAGCTAGCAGGTCACAGGTGACCACTGTGGCCCTCATTCACAGGTCAGTCACTTTGTTCTCCACCAGGGCAGCGACTTGCTGCAGGCGGCAAGCCAGCTGCATCTTCTGGGCCACGGGGTCCTCCTCCAGGGCACTGATAATCTGTCAGGGCAATAGAGTGTACCTGCTTGAAATCCCACTCCTCTGCCCATCAGCCCAGGGCCTTCCTAGTCCTTTCTCCATCTAAACAAGGGTCAGGGTGATAAAGTAGGAACTCTCCTGGAGACCTGTCCAGGGAGGCCCTGGTGGAAGCCAAGACTACTTCCCAGACTGGGCCCTTTTCAGCACAGGATTGTTCCCTTCGTTCCCTTTATTTGGATTGGGCCACCCCCAAACCTATCCTCCCGTCAGGGAGATTCTGTGGGTCATTGTCTTAGCTACACCTCCTCCAAGTGCCTGCCCTCCTCCCCTCAAGGGTGCTCTGGCCTCACCTGGTCATAATACCTGTGGATGTGGTTGTAAAGTTCTCGAAGAGCCTCCAGACAGTGGGGAGCAGAGGTGTAGTTCTATGGGTAGTATGTTGGGGGCAGTGAGTCTCTTATCTCAGACCTCAAGACCCAAGGCTCTCCACTCCTACTCTGCCAGTTTTTCTCCCCCTAAATGTGGAGGACTAGGTCCCCTGAGCCAAGCCTCACCCCAGAGAGTTCAGCCAGAGCTGAATTCATCTCCTGATAGCTTGCTGGAGAGCTCTGATGAATGTCCGCATAGTACCTGGAGAAGTCAGCAGGGTTAAGAGCCTGTATCCCTGATCCCCAGCCCCCAAAGGCTCCAATACCTACTTCTCCACCATCTGCTTGTAGCGAGGGATCTCCCGGGCATAGAGGAGTTTGTTCACTGGGGAATCCTGCTCCGAGTAGAGGAGGTGAGAGGTGTAAATGGGGAGGTAGGAGAACAACCTGCACCACCATCTCCTATCTCCACAATGCCATTCCTCTCAACACACAGTCTCTGCACTGGGTTCCCCCCCCCCAAACTTTTCTTCTATTTGCCTCTGGTGCCCTGCTTATGCCCTCACCCGGCCCACTTTATGCTCCGAGACCATGCAGGAGTCGATGAAGGTCTGTGCAATGACAGCCAAGATGGCATCCTCGTTGTCTGACACCCGCACATCAAAAATGAGCTGGGGGTTCTTCAAGGCATTCACCCAGAATCGCAGCAGTAGGCTGGAGGTATAGGTCAGGTGTGGAGATGAGGCCTGGCCTGCCATTGTGGCCTCCTCCCCTCGTACTTCGGCTCCCCACTCCTCCACATAGATGTCTGTCTTGGAGCTGGGAATCTAGGTAGCAGGGAACTTAGGCTTTGTTTTCCATGAGAAGCTATCCTCATGGCACATGAGCCTGAGCTTGGACCTTCCTATTAGTAGTCCAGCTGGAGAGTGAGAGCAGAAACTCAGAGTGATGCTGTAAAGTCCGAGTTTCTGTCTTGGACTTGCTACCCTGTCATGATGAGGACATGTCCCTCTGAAATTCAGTAGACCACCCATACAGTGGGAAGGAGAGAGGTCAGCAGGAAAGGTACCTGTTTGTCTTCCAAATATGCAGGGTCTCTGGATCTTCTATGCCATGTTTCTCTGCCAGCTCATCCAGGAAGTCAAATAGGTACTTAACAGCAATAGGCACAGGCCGGTTCACACTAAGAATGGCCTGGAAGGTGTCATCCACAAATTTCTGCAAGGTTCCCTGCAGGCATGTCATGAGGATCATGTGAAGGCAGGGTGTGAAGGGGGCTAACCCCTGCTCCATCAAGTCAGTCACAATTCCTTGTCAACTCTGCTCCATTGCCAGACTCCCCTGGCAGCACCAACCTTCATTGAAAGTAAACGGGTGAGATAAATTTCTGGAATGGCCTTGGCTCGTGCCCGTTCTCGTTCTCGTTCCCGGAGGCTGCTGCGCCGCACTTTGGCCCCTTCTAGCTCCTCAGTGGCTTTCACCAGGTGCCAGAGCCGAACTCCACCCTCCTCAC